AGCCTTAGACAGTTTAAGTCAAATTACATTTCACACCAACCATTAGCCAGGGATGGGAAGGGCCCCATTAAGTTTTACTGGAATTAGATAATTACCTTTTATTTTCTTTGCACTAATTGGAACAATTCCTGAAATTAAGAAATGTAACTTTCCAGAAATGATCATCTGGTTTATGAAAGGGTCCTTGGGGTTTCAGTGTGGGGAGGAGGAGTCCTGTTGGAGAAGCTATATGGAATGTCCTAAGTGCTGGAAACCACAACCCAGTGAATGGGAGGGGCGGGTTGGCCTTGTTCCCTGGACCACTCAGAGGAGTTTGGGGAGGGGCTGGCAGCAGCCAAGTCCCTTCATGGCGCCCCCGGGGATGTAAGAGGGCCTTCTGATTTCCCACCAAAGCACCGCTTGTGCCCAGAGCACTTCTGCCTCTTCGTGTGTACGGAGGAGCAGGAGGGAGGCTTCCAAGCCAGGGGCTACTGCACTTGTTGACCCTGGGAGCCAGGACAGGCTCTCCCCTGCAGGAGGAGCTCCCATCACCCAGCCTGGAGAGCAGATTAGGGAAGCAGCACAGCGGCAAGGGAGAGCTCTGCATCACCTCCTTTGAGGAGTGCCAGAAGCAGATGTCTTTTATCCAGAGGAAGAGTGGACTAATTCCCGCCTCAGCGCTTCATTTCCTTCCCATCCCTTGGCAAAGTCAGTGCACCCCTGCTCCTTTTACAGTAAGCACTTCGAAAATACCACGTATTTTTCTTGGGGTAAGGTTTTTCTGATGTCGAGAACAAGGTTGGACGTCACTCTCCCTGTCTGTTAGAGGCAGGGATGAGATGTCAAAGGAGGGTTTCCCATCAGTGTGACTGGCACGGGGTCTAACCTTCCTTATTTCAAGTTTTCAGAAAGCCAAGATCTTTCCCTTTGTCTTGCTGGAAGGGTGGTTTAGGAGGTGTGGAGTGGTTTTTGTCACCATTTTGCCTTGTTTTTCTGAAGGGAATGGTTGGGATACCTGAATAGGGAGAGGAAAGTACAGGATGCTCGTGGTGTGCTGCTCAATATTTGAATTGCTCCTCTATTCACTCCAGCTTGCAGCAATATTTAACCTACCTTGTACCAGGCTCTGTGCTAGGGACTAGAGACACCAAGTGGAGAGAGACGCCTCGGGTTTCCTGCCCTCTAGTGGCTCACTGTTCAAAAGGAAGACAGACATTCAAGTGTCTAATTATGATAGGGGATTTGAGCTATAGTAGAGCTAAGGTCTCCTGGCTCACTTATAATTGATTAATAAGATCCCCCAAAAGAGCAAGAAGAAGCTGACTGACCTCTCTCTCCTATGTTCTCTGCTTCTCTACCTACTACACTCTTACCATGCAGAACATCATGGAAGTGTTGCCGTGATCCTAAATTCACCAGGTCAGGTCAACCTCATTGCTGCAAGCATGATTACAACAGAGTCTATTTCCATTTCCTGTTAGGTGATCCACGATTACAGCAGAATCTATTTCTGTTTCCTGTTAGATGGCCCATGTTCTCATCCCAGGCTCAGTTTTCCTCCTTTTCACCCACCAGAGAAGAGTCATATGAGTGGACAGGAAACAGTGGAACCTTTGTTGAATGGTTTGATTCCATATAGAGAAATCCCTGTAATCAGACCCACAGAGCAATGTCTCGCAAGTATACCTGCTCAGAAGTAGAGCTAGCTTCCTCACGTAGATGCTGTCCTTGCAATGAGAGCCTCTGAAGAGGGATTTTTCTTGAAGGGTGATGGGGGACCCTTGTGATCATTGACTATAGAATACCTGCTGTCTGTGATCACTTAGGTTTGGGTCTTGTTGGGCCAGCTCCTTTAACAAGTGATCTGTGTATATCCACCACCCATTGCTGCCTCTGCAAAATGAGTTTGTTCCTGGAATCTGGAAAGAGGAAGACTGATGAGATTGGCAGAGAATGTCAGACTGGTGATGTGAACTGCCACATGGGCACATGCTTGGCTTGGCCACCCTGACCCCTCCCCTCCTGCCTGCCCCTCTGTTTAAGTAAGTCTCTTTTCCTGCCTTGGATTTTCCAAGAAGCCAGAAGGTCCCATAGTCATCACTTCTGTAGACTAAGTCATTGAATGTTTGGGTTAAAATGAGGGAGTGGTGGCAAATTAAAAGCCATTACCACCCATTAACATTTTAACTCAAATTGATTGAGTATATAAGCTATTCAGGCAACTGGTAAGGCCCTGGGCCATTTGTAGTAATGAGGGACAGAGGGCCAAGAGGCTTTTCAGAAGCCCAAAGGAGCCCAACAGGGTCACACGTGGACACCCCTTCCTTGTGTCTGACACTGGCTGAGGGCATGTTTGTCCTTCTAGCTGCAATCTTGAGAATGGGGAACCGCCCGAAGCCTGAATTCGTGGAAACTCTAAAACTGTATCTACCATTTACACATAGGGCAAAACTCCCCCTCTCCACCCCAGCTATGCAGAGTTTTCACCTGAGCCACTTCTTGGGAGTGGTAAGGTCAGTATTGATAATAACTTGTCCAAGTGACTGGCTGGAAATGGGGGCAAGTCAGATGGGGGAGGGAATAAGGGGGAGTGGAGCTAACATTTGTGAGCGCACACAAGTTCAAGGCACTGACCTGGGCTATTTCTCTTATTTAATCCTGGCAATCCTTTCATATAGATATCATTATCTCCCTTTTACATTTGAGGAAACTGAGACTCAAAGAAGCTGAATTCCTACCCTGACCCCTGCAACATGTGGGACTGTGGGATGGCCAATATCCTCTTCTGCACTTGGGGCAATTCTAAATAGATTCGTAAACAGGCATCTTCTTTAATTCTGACTGTGTGCCCTTAGTTCTGGTATGTCAGGATTCTGGGAACAAATCTGTCTTCACTCACTGCACACCCTTCATCATTTGTGAGACTATAATCATAAATCTCTGTTTTCATCTTTCCACATGGAAAAAAACTAGTTCTTTCAATCAATTCAGATTTTAAAAAACTTTAAGAATAAATAACAACAATCTCATTCAAAATTCTGACCTAACACCTTTGAACTCGCTCCAAGAGCAATTTAGAATGTGAAATAACTACAAAGTGGTAATGGTCTTGCTTTCTCATCATCTCTGAAGGAGGAACTGTGTGTGTGTTGGGGCTGGGTAGGATGGGAGGGTGATGTCAACAGGTAGAATATCATGGTCGGGATAGATTCATTGACTATTGTGTTTCTGCACTGCTAATAAATGAGAGAACTTGCCTTATCTTGAGAAATTTACATTAAATTTGAGTATTCTCACAAATGCAACATTTTCCCCTTTAAAATCAGACTCAGAGTGGTAAGAATATTGAAAAGTTAACGGGCACATTTGCATTCCATTTGTAACTTTTTTAAAATAGCAAAATTATAGTTTAGCCAAGGAAAGAAAAGAAATGTACTCAGGCAATTGCTGTAAATATTTCCAAGATTATCAGCAAGCGATCTTGGGAGGGGTGTGAGAATGAGCTCCACAGTGAGCTAGAAGTGGTAACAGGCAGGGGGATGGTTCAAATTTATTTATTTTTTTTTCTGGGATTTTAACAAACTCTTCAGTTGGGATTCAAGGCAGTATTGAACCAAAGCATGAAGTCAGGTACCAGACGGCAGAGAAGAACAAAAAGGAATGTCGACTCACGATTGTCACCAGGGCTTCGAGGAATGATCACTGTGATCTCGAGTCAGACTTCCTGGCTTGCCCAACTTCTTGGCTTGCCCACCTTTGCCCAGAGTCCAGCATGGCCCCTTCCTTGTAGGCATCTGAGGAAACTGGCCCGTGTTGTCCATCCCTGGCTCTCAGTCTTGTGCTACTTCTGTTAACCTTAGTTTGGATCACGAACCTCTGCATTCTCCGAGCTGGAAGGGTTGGTGGAGATGGTGCTTTCCCACTCATTCATTCACTTGACAAGCATTGCTTCGTTGCCTCTTACATGTCTGGAATTATGCTGGAGGGCTGGGATGTGGCAGCAAATGGGGTAGACGCAGCTCCTCCCCTGGTAGAGCTTGGAGTCCAGTGGTATTTTCCAGATGAAGAATGCTGTGACTGAGAGACCAAGAGACTTGCCCACAGTCCCACCACTTGTTTCAGAGCTGAGAACAGATTCTAGCTCTCCTGCCTCCTAGCTGAGTTCAGTTCTAGTTCTCCTTCATACATAATATTTTATTTCATGTTTGTGATACTTCAATGAGATTGGAAACTGCGAAGGGATGGGGACTTTTATTCCTCTCTGGCCCCACATTATCTAGGAGGAAAGAACCCCAGTCAATACCTGTTCCCATAATGGTCAATTTCAAACCATCATCGTCACGTCACTGAAGGCAGAGTTAGGAAAAGATGTGAACCGCCCAGCATGACACAGTATTCCTACCATATTCATACAAAAACAAGATAACTTCAATAACACAGATCATGGTCAAGGGTGGAAAATGGAATTAGGAAGTGATGAGTTCTGAGTATTTATTGCCTTTGTTTTTGATATGATTTATTGAACTTCAAGTTGATATATTTCCATTTTTAATAATGACTGTATTGAACAGCCAGCACGAGCCACCTCCAGGACAAAACTAGGGACCAGTGGCAACAGGAGGTCACCACAGTCACAATACCTTTGTGAGCATGCCAGGTGAAATACTGTTGCTAAATTAAACTCCAAGCGGGATAGTCCCCAAAGGCATGGCAGCATTCATCAGGATGTCGACCTGCTGGGATGTTGGCACCAAACACTGGACGGAGGAAGGAGACTCTTGGTGCCAAGTCAGTTTCTTGTAAAATGTTCCTTTGGGAATCCTCTTCCACTTCTCCCCTGCCTCAAATGCAGTCTGTGTGGTTATACATCCTCTCTTCCCAGTCCTCAGATCAGATTTGACAGAGCAGACTAGGGAAAACTGGGAGCGGGAGGGTGATCAAGAGACCAGTTTGGCTGCATGAGTATACTAGTTTGGATTGGATTTGGCTGCAAGGGACAATAAACCCCAAATGCCAGTGACTTATTTGAAACAGAAGTTTATTTCTTCTTCATGTGCCAGTCGTCCAGCAGGCAGCCAACACTGGTTTTGCTGTGGTTAGTCTGCAAAGTCCCCAGGGATTCTGATCCTTTCAGCTTCCTCTCCACCATCTCCAAGACGAGACTCTTTCCTCCTGGCCCATCAAATCCAGGTTCCAAGCAATAGAATGGAAGCAGAGATAAAAAGGAAGAAACAGGAAAGTTCCTGACACCTCCAGCGGATGCTCCCATTTACACCCCTCTGTCAGGACCCTGTCCTGTGTCCCCCCTAGCTGCAAGGGACACAGGGAACAAATCCTTATTCTGAGCTTCTGTGTGCTCAGCTGAGACTCAGTTTTGGAAGAAGGGAGGGAAGGGGGCGGGCGGGGGTGCAGGGTTTGGGACAGCCAGTAGCATCTGCCGCAGTAAGAATGGAAAAGCCCATCATAGGATTTTTCTCTCCCATCTTCAGCTCTACAGGCAAGTCCTCACGGCCCTGTCTTATGCTTGGGTGGAGCAAGGACTTGCCAAAAGTCACTCACCATTAATGACCGAGTTTGTGAGCAACAAAGCTGTTTCTGGAGCTGAGCTTCATAACGCTGCATCTTCCTATTTCTTAGCATCTTACTCGGCTACATTGATTTCTTTGTTTTCACTCCGGGAAGGCAATATAATGGTTTAGAGCAATGCTTCGGAAACTATTTGTGGCAAAGGACTGAATTTTTTTCTCCTTAAATCTCCAATTGATTTCAGAGCGAGTATCCTACTGCCTGACTGGTATTCAGTTCACACTAGTTGCCCCTCACCAACCATGCAAGTTGTATGCCCCCATACCCTTCATCACTAAGAGTCAGCAATTATGTGCATCACAATGTGAAGCTGCCACAAAGGCGTCTAAATGCTTGTCCTCAATTCCTATAATTATCTCAGCATTGACCAGTAATGTACAGTTCATGGATCAGTACTGGTCCCTGGACCACACTTGAGTAGTTCTGGTTTAGAGTTGATTTTGAGATCACACCTATCAGGGCTCAGAATTCATCTTTATCTTTCGCTATTTGTGTGATCCTGGTCTGTTTTAGTTCCTTGATGTTAAATGGGGACAATAATAATACTTAATTCACAGATTTTAGTAAGAATAAACTAAGTTAATGTGTCTAAAGCACTTAGTAGAATGTTAGCATAAAGTAAGTGCTCATTTCATAGATAACTTTATTATTTATGATAATGCAAAAATAGAAAGACATATATTTATTTATAAAACAGCAATTATCTCGAGGTAGTAAAATTTGCATTGATCTTGATTTTTCTTCATACTTTTCTCTTTTATAAATTTTCTACAATGATCATAAATTACTCTGTAATCAGGAAAAAAGTTATTAAAATTTGTTATGCCTGTTTTCTCTGCACTGAGGTTTTTTGTTTTTTTGTTTTTTTTTTTTTTTGCCAGAGCTTAATATTCTTTCTCAATAAACAAACATAAGCACACATATTTAGTAAAATTGGTTTTGCAGACAATTTTCAACCTTTCTTTGATGTTTTGTAAGCATCTACCTAATACTCATATCGCAATTTTCAGCGGAGGAAAACAGGTTGCAACGCATTCCCCGGCTGGGCCGAAAACCTTGGAGAAGCTTCAGGGCTCCTTTCTTACATCCTCTTCACCTGGTGACGACCTCCTCATCACCCAACCTGGACATCTCTGTTCATAGCTAAGAATCACAGCAAACCCCTAGCTTTTGGAGCGAGGGGGTGATTCCAAGAAAAGGCACAGTGGCTTCACATCCACATGGTGCCCCAGTCTCACCAGCAAACACAGGCAGAGGGGGCTGTGTCCCAGGCTACCTCACCATCGCTCAGACACCAGTGCTGGTGATTTTGTGCAGGAAGCAGCACAGAGGATACATTAACACCGGGGAGGGGCAAACAAGTATGAGGATCATAATAAAGAGACCTTTCCTTTCCAAATCTCAACAAATAAAGTCCTTGGTGAGGTCTTCCAGTCATCCCGCACTGCTCAGCTCTCTGTGAGAAGAATTATCTTCACCTTGAATGCAGCAGCGTGGAGACTACTACATATTTTGGAATAACTTTTTTTCTTTGCTAGGAGAGAATTTATTGAGATAAAAAAGACAACAGTAATTTAAGTTTCCTTGGACGGCTTCTTAGAGATTTGTAAAATCCAAATGGTCTCAAACTCTTCCAAACTCTAAGAGGGCATTCTAACTACTTAATATTTATTAGTGTTAACATTTGTTTGGAAAGACTATCTTTATGGCCTAGTAGAATTGCATACTTTTGTGTTACAAATATTCCTTAGGGTACATTGAAATCCCAGATATAACTGAGGCTTAGAGTAAATGTTTACTAACAGGGAGATAATTTTGGCAATTCTATATAGGGATCCATAACTGTGTATCTGCCTCTGTGTCAACAAGTTATAATATGGTAATAGCTATGATTTATTCACTTCCAAATCCTTGGGCAGTAACAGAACCCTCCATTATATCCTTGATCCAATGGAGAAAATACAGTCCATTTTGGAGATTTCTGGAAATTCACTGAGATGACAAGAGGGCAATACATTGCTCTTACGGTCTGAAAGCAGTTCAGTAAATTTCCCTAAGTGGCCCTGGGAAAAGCCATGGCCTCAAGCTATCTGACATCACTGGGAGGTAGACTGGGCTCATCCCAGCAACCCCCTAAGTTACTCACACACTGAGTCAGAGAAATGCATGTGACTTTCCCAGTGTAGCAGAGCATGGGCTGGAGGGAGATCAGGAAGGCCAGCTTGAGCTTCTAGTTTTCTTCCCAAGGGAAAAGTCCTGGGGTTTAGAGGAGGAAAGGCTCCAGAGGTGGTTATCATACCCCTCTAAATCCCCATAAGATCAACCAAACTCTCTCAATTTTACTGGAGGGCCCCACAGGCTCAAGTTCATCAGTTTTTGGCTGTATGGGGAGAGTTCAGGAATGCAGAATCGGTGACAGATACCCGGGAGGACTTTCTTAACCGAAGTCCTTCTCTTTCCCTTTTTTTGGTCTGTGTGAATAATCCACATTTGGGCCAGCAATGATACGTTTGAGAATACTGCATTTATGTTTCAGTTTTTAAGGTATAAGGGACTTCATCTGGCATGAGGACCTCCCACATTTTCTAACATTGTCATTCTACCTTTCCAACTGGATTGCTAGCTTCCTGGCTCTTGTGTATGTTATAAAGTTCTTATTTTCTGTAGTGCAGCTCATTTCAAAAGATAATAATCACTTGTGTCTCAAGGCCTAGCAAAAGGAAACCCATCCTCTCCTTCCCTTCTTTCCCTCTGGTTTCCAGCCTCTAGGAGGAACAGACTCCTCCCTGCAGGATGAGTGCCCGCAGCTCAGACCACAGCTGGCCTCTGGCAGAGGTGTGCCAACAAAGGAAGAAAACAAAAGCCAAGCTGCATTCATTTCAAGCTCGATTAGGGACATGCATTGGGTGAGGAAATCAATGGGGAAGATGAAGCTGGCAGGAAAATAACTTCTTTTTCTCAGTCTCTACAATGGAATTGACCACAAATAATGGTAGGGCAGAAATCACTAAGCAACACCCATTTTAAAAATAGAGAAATTTAAAAATCACATCCAATAAGCATTTTTGGGGTCATTTCCAAAGCATAGCTTAAAAAAAGATAACTGCCACTTTGTTCTTTTCTTCTTTACATGGCAAAATACCAGCCAGGACCCAGGATTACAGTACCCAGCCAGCCTTTGTGAACATCAGATGCTTTGTGTGAGGTACGAATTGTTGTTCTGAGGTTTGCTGCAGCCATTTGAAAGGATACTCTTAAGTATCAATAATATTGATGATTCATCATAATTTGCCACAGAATAGAAAAACATTTTATAGTTTTGCTTTCAGAAGCCAGTAAAGAGAGAGCTTCCTTAGGGAATGTTTAACCACTCAAAAGTCCTCCTCATGCCCTGACCAATACAATATAAAAGGTATTTTGAGAAAAGATATGAATAGAAGTATAGTTTGGATGTTTGTAAATAGTCTCAACAGAATCACTTCTTACTCTGTTTTCATGCAACTTTTAAATCTATGGGAAGTTCCACAGAAGGAAATTTTTTTTTCTCTCTTTCTTTGTTTCTCTATATCGATCATTTGCTTTCTTTTATATGGTTAATCTTGGCTGTCTTCATTTTCACGGATTGGGTAGGTTTTCCCCTGCTGTTGTTGTCCTGCTGTAATAGCGGAGGGGGGCCACCAGGTGGCACTGTGCTAGGCGAGGGGCCCCGGAAAGATAGCGGACTTGGTCTGAGCCAGTGCCAGGTAAATCCTGGGGCAGGGAGGGGTCAAAGGAGAAAGTGAGAGAATGAGAATAGGAATTGGGAGAGGTTACAACCGACTGGAGGACAAGAATCTTGCCTTTTGCTTATCGACTAATCCGAACTCCTGGAAACCAGTTTCAATCACCATGTAATTGGAACTGAGATGAAAAGTGGGCATGTTGTCTGTGGAAATCAGTATTCAAGGCAAACAAATTGAGGGGAGATGCACCTGGATCATCAAAAATTGGTTGGAAAATCCAGGTAATCTCTGCAGATGGGTCCTTTCATTAATGCTCCTAGCCTTGGTGAAGAAATTAAATTTGAGCAGTTCTTCCAATAATCAATAATGAAAATCAGTAGCAGATTGACACCTTGCATGATCAGCGAAAATTAATAATACATTGATACTTTGCACTATCCCTGATTTGGGCACAACCAGAGTAGGTGTGCATTTTTAGCTGTTTACATTTAAAAGTTAAAAAATATAAATTATCTCCACTTTGCCCAGTTATCCTTATATAGTATAAAATTAGACCAACTGTCTTTCTCTTAATGCCCCCCCATCTACTCTCCAAAGGAAGGTATATAAAACAGTAAATCCACTCTCTTGGGGGAGGAGGAGGAGGGTTACATTAACACAGCATTTGTATTCATGAAGTCTGTACCAAACATCAGGTAGTTATTAAATATCTTCCCCTTATGTGCCCAGCATTGTGCCCAGCACTACGGTAGTTAAGAAATAGAAGCCGTAACTTTCCCTCAGAGTTTTTGCAAAAGATCCCTTATTCAATTATGGGGTGATGCTTGTCACATGTTGCACAGATATAGCTGCACCTAACCCCTCATTAACTTAATGGATTCCTATAGTCAGTTCTCCAGGGATGTGGAGTTGAAGCTGCTGAGATTCACAGAAAGTGTGGGTGTATTTATAAATGCATCTCCCATTACTCCTAGGTTCTCAAAAGGAGAGAGCTCTGTTCCCATAGCAGGTAAGGAGAAAGTGAACACTGTAGCAAGAAGCTGTCATCATTTGTTCATTCAGTTATGCTTTTTATGACACCTGGTTTTGCATCCCAAGAAGAGAAAGTCTGTTCATTTTTGTGTTCTTTGTCCGTCTTGGAGTACCTGATGGCCCACTTTATATGACTTTTTATGTAGTAAGGACTGACTGCTTTACTACACAAGGTCACTTGTATGAGCCAATTGGCTTTGCTTAGGAAATGCTTTTGCTTCATGATCAGAGGCAACAATTCTACTTTTTAAAAATTACCAATTGTTTCTTAAGAATAAGTCATGGAGGGCCGGGCGCGGTGGCTCAAGCCTGTAATCCCAGCACTTTGGGAGGCCGAGACGGGCGGATCACGAGGTCAGGAGATCGAGACCATCCTGGCTAACATGGTGAAACCCCGTCTCTACTAAAATATACAAAAAACTAGCCGGGCGAGGTGGCGGGCGCCTGTAGTCCCAGCTACTCGGGAGGCTGAGGCAGGAGAATGGCGTGAACCC